CCCTTTTTTTCTCTCTCTGCTCTACCCCAGTGTGTGTCCCCCCCTGACCCCCCCCGACTGAGGTGTGTTTGTGTTTTTAGGGTGACCGAAGGATGTCGGGGCCGGTGCCCAGCCGGGCCAGGGTCTACGCCGACGTCAACACCCAGAGACCCCGCGAGTACTGGGACTACGAGTCGCACGTCGTGGAATGGGGGTACGTCCCGGGGGGGGGACAGCAGGGACTGGGACACACACACACACACACTGATCCCCTCAACATCGGCCTTTCGGGGGAAGAGGGGTCCCCATTTTCCCCGGGGAGCCCCACGTGTCACCTTGGGAGTGGAACCCCCCCTTGGATGGAAGAGTTTCACAGCCACCCCCAGGCGCCCTGGCTTGAAGCGAGCGCTTAATTAACGAGGGTTTGGCTTTGATTGCTGGGAGATGGGAGAAAAACCAGTCTCCCCAGGGTGCTGGTGGGGAATAACCACGCTGGGGGGAGCTTGGGAATGGTGACACCCAACTGGGAGTTGGGGGTGACGCACCAGAAGGTTGTGCCGCCTTCCAGAGAGACCTGGAGAGGCTGGAGAGTTGGGTGGTGAGGAACCTCATGAGGTTCTACCAGGGCAAGGGTAGGGTCCTGCCCCTGGGGAGGAATAACCCCATGGACCAGTAGAGGTTGGGGGTGACCTGCTGGGGAGCAGCTCTGGGGGAAAAGACCTGGTGGACACCAGGATGCCCATGGGCCAGCAATGGGTCCTGATGGCCAAGAAGGCCAATGGCATCTTGGGGGGCAACAAGAAGAGCAGGGAGAACCTTGAGGGAGGTCACCCTCCCCCTCTGCTCTGCCCTGGGGAGGCCCCAGCTGGAGCTCTGGGACCAGTTCTGGGCTCCCCAGTTCCAGAAGGACAGGGAACTGCTGGAGAGGGTCCAGCAAAGGGCTCCAAAGCTGCTTTTGGGCCTGGAGCATCTCTGTGCTGAGGAAAGGCTGAGGGACTTGGGGCTGTTGAGTGTGGAGAAGAGAAGGCTGAGGGGGGGTCTGCTCAAGGCCTCTAAAGACTGGAAGGGGGGGTGTCAGGAGGATGGGGCCAGGCTTTTTGCAGTGGTGCCCAGGGCCAGGAGGAGAGGGACCGGGCCCCAACTGGGACAGGGGAAGTTCCACCTCAAGCTGAGGAGGAGCTTGTTTGGGGTGAGGGTGGCAGAGCCCTGGCAGAGGCTGCCCAGAGAGGGGCTGGAGTCTCCTTCTCTGGAGACATTCCCACCCCCCTGGACCCGTTCCTGTGGGACCTGCTCTGGGTGCCCCTGCTCTGGGTGGGGGTTGGAGGAGATGGTCTCAAGAGATCCCTTCCAGCCCCATAGCATCCTGTGATTTATTTTAAGTGGCTTTATTGCAACTTTTAGAGAATATCATTGGGTCGGTCTCCTTGGTCTGGTCACTAGTGGTTAGGGCAAGGGTAGGGTCCTGCCCCTGGGGAGGAATAACCCCATGGACCAGTAGAGGTTGGGGGTGACCTGCTGGGGAGCAGCTCTGGGGGAAAAGACCTGGTGGACACCAGGATGCCCATGGGCCAGCAATGGGTCCTGATGGCCAAGAAGGCCAATGGCATCTTGGGGGGCAACAAGAAGAGCAGGGAGAACCTTGAGGGAGGTCACCCTCCCCCTCTGCTCTGCCCTGGGGAGGCCCCAGCTGGAGCACTGGGACCAGTTCTGGGCTCCCCAGTTCCAGAAGGACAGGGAACTGCTGGAGAGGGTCCAGCAAAGGGCTCCAAAGCTGCTTTTGGGCCTGGAGCATCTCTGTGCTGAGGAAAGGCTGAGGGACTTGGGGCTGTTGAGTGTGGAGAAGAGAAGGCTGAGGGGGGGTCTGCTCAAGGCCTCTAAAGACTGGAAGGGGGGGTGTCAGGAGGATGGGGCCAGGCTTTTTCCAGTGGTGCCCAGGGCCAGGAGGAGAGGGACCGGGCCCCAACTGGGACAGGGGAAGTTCCACCTCAAGCTGAGGAGGAGCTTGTTTGGGGTGAGGGTGGCAGAGCCCTGGCAGAGGCTGCCCAGAGAGGGGCTGGAGTCTCCTTCTCTGGAGACATTCCCACCCCCCTGGACCCGTTCCTGTGGGACCTGCTCTGGGTGCCCCTGCTCTGGGTGCCCCTGCTCTGGGTGGGGGTTGGAGGAGATGATCTCCAGAAGTCCCTTCCAGCCCCACATCATCCTGGGCTTCAGTGAAACGCTCCCCTGCTTGGGAGCACCCTGGGGACACCCTGGGGACATCGTGGGACTTCTCTGGTTCTGCTAAAAGAAAATCTCTCAAATCAGGTTTTTCCCCCCAGCCGGGGGGCACGGAGGGGTGGTCCCTGGGGGCTGGCAGCTGGCCATGGGGCTACCACCCGCGCCGGATTAGGAGCCCTCCCCAGTGCTCTCCCTCCTCTTCCTCCAACCCCTGCCGCTCGCTGGGACCAGTGACCTAGAAATGGGGAAAAAAAAGCTTCTTAGCCACTTCCAGCAGATTTTTATCCATTTCCAGCAGATTTTTATCCACTTCCAGTAGATTTTTATCCACTTCCAGCAGGTTTTCATCCACTTCCAGGAGATTTTTATCCATTTCCAGCAGGTTTTTATCCAGATCCCCCCGTTCCAGGGCAGTGCCTTGGGGAATCTCTCCGGGAGGGAAATTCCCCGCCTCTGGAGAGCATCCCGGGGGTTTTGGGGTGGGTTCTTCTTATTCCCACCCAAACAATCCTTGGAGTGAAGTGGTTTTTCCCTGGCTGCCCTCTCCCCCCCCCCAGCCCTCAGTGAAGCTGAATTAATTATTAATTAATCCTCCCCATCTGGAAGGCTGGGCTCTCCCAGCCTGAAGGAGCAGGAGCGGAGGCTGAAGCCGAACCCTCCTCTTCCTCCCGGTGCTGCCCCCCCCCGCTCACCCCCTCTGCTAATTAGCAATTTGTGAAATCAACCTTTTCCCATCCTGTTGTTCCCTCCCTTCCCTCCATGTGTTTATCCCTATGGAATCCCCGGGGGGGGCCCAGCTCTTCCCCCCCCATTTGCCCCCAGCTCAGCAGCTTCTGCTGGTCCCTGGGTCCTTCACTTGAGACCTTTGTGGGGTTTCAAAACCTGGAGGTTTTAGGAGTTGTTTTATTTTCTTCCCATTTCTTGTATTCCAGAGTACTGCTGGGGGGGGCTCTGGAATTTTGGAGTCCTTGTAGCCCCACCGCCTCCTCTTCAGGAACTTGGGTTGAGGGGAAGGTGGGAAAGCATCGTCTCCATGGGGTGGGGGGGAGGAGAGATGAGGCTGGGAGGGAGCACCCCAGCTTGGGGTGTTGGAGGAGACATTTTTGGGGTGTAGAGGGGGGATTAGATGGCCGGGGGGGACACACACACTGTCTCCAAGCTCCCTGTGACACCTGCAAGGTCTGGTGGCCACCTCCACCAGGGAGATGTACGCTGGTGGGTTTGTGGTGGTGGCTTCTTCTCTCCAGCCCTGGGCACGGCAGGAACACCCCATTTTCCGTAGACTGACCCCCCCCAAGAACATCACCTTCCCTGGAGGGGGAGTTGAGAAGGGTTGGCTCTAAAGCAGGCAGAGCTCCACCACCTCCTCATCTCTTGTCTCTCCCTTTCTCCCCAACAGCAACCAAGATGACTACCAGCTTGTGCGGAAACTGGGCCGGGGCAAGTACAGCGAAGTCTTCGAAGCCATCAACATCACCAACAACGAGAAAGTGGTGGTGAAAATCCTCAAGGTAGGGGTTTTGGTTTTTTTTATATTTCCTCTACCGGTTTGGTTCCTCTGGTTCTTCTGCGTCTTCTCTTCCTGCCCTCTCTGGTGGAGATGGGGATGATCTCATGGTGGCCCCCAGGCAAACGTCTCAGCTGCTTTGTCTCCTCCCCAAGAAGGGGAGTCATGAGGAGAGGGATGGTGGAAGTGCTTCCCAGCAAACCTGGAGATGGGTGGAGGCAGAAGGAATCCCAGGGTGATGCTGGGTGGGAAGGGACCTCTGGAGATCATCTCCTCCAACCCCCACCCAGAGCAGGGGCACCCAGAGCAGGTCCCACAGGAACGGGTCCAGGGGGGTGGGAATGTCTCCAGAGGAGGAGACTCCAGCCCCTCTCTGGGCAGCCTCTGCCAGGGCTCTGCCACCCTCACCCCAAACAAGCTCCTCCTCAGCTTGAGGTGGAACTTCCCCTGTCCCAGTTGGGGCCCGGTCCCTCTCCTCCTGGCCCTGGGCACCACTGCAAAAAGCCTGGCCCCATCCTCCTGACACCCCCCCTTCCAGTCTTTAGAGGCCTTGAGCAGACCCCCCCTCAGCCTTCTCTTCTCCACACTCAACAGCCCCAAGTCCCTCAGCCTTTCCTCAGCACAGAGATGCTCCAGGCCCAAAAGCATCTTTGGAGCCCTTTGCTGGACCCTCTCCAGCAGTTCCCTGTCCTTCTGCAACTGGGGAGCCCACAACTGGTCCCAGAGCTCCAGCTGGGGCCTCCCCAGGGCAGAGCAGAGCAGAGCAGGGGGGGTGACCTCCCTGGAGGTTCTCCATGCTCTTCCTGATGCCCCCCAAGATGCCATTGGCCTTCTTGCCCACCAGGGCCCGTTGCTGGCCCTTGGGCATCCTGTTGTCCACCAGGTCTTTTCCCCCAGAGCTGCTCCCCAGCAGGTCACCCCCAACCTCTACTGGTCCATGGGGTTATTCCTCCCCAGGGGCAGGTCCCTACCCTTGCTCTGGTAGAACCTCATGAGGTTCCTCACCACCCAACTCTCCAGCCTCCCCAGGGCAGAGCAGAGGGGGAAGGTGACCTCCCTGGAAGATCTCCATGCTCTTCCTGATGCCCCCCAGGATGACACTGGCCTTCTTGGCCAGGTTTTGGGTCACAACCTCACCAGTTCAGCACCGTTTTTCACCCAAGCTGATAAAATCTCCCGGTGCCGGAGTCAGCAGAGCCCGGAGAGCTCTCCTGGGATGAGCAGGACACGGGGGGATGGTCAGGCCACCGGGCAGGGACCCGTTCTTGCCCCGGGAGCTTGGGCAGGACCCGGAGGCCACCCACGGACCCATTTCTCCTCTCTCATCCTCCTCAGGCTCACGGGGTCACCGCTGGGCTCCTCCGCTTGCGGTGAGGAGCTAATTTCTGTGGCCTCGTCAAGCCCTGTGTAATTAGAGCCTGGAGGGTTGGGTGGGTTGGAAGGAATCCTGCGGGGGTGGGAAGGGAGGGAGGGCAACCATTAAGGACCACAACAAAAACAGGCGTGAAGAAAAGGTGGGGACGGAGGTGACGAGAGAGAAATGCCCTCGTTAATTAATTTGCCGTGTGTGTCTCTCGCCCGGCCTGGGATGGAGGAGAAGAAGAAGAAGGAAGGTAGCTCCAAAAGGCAGGAAAGAGCATCCCGTCTCCGGAGGCAGGAGAAGGACGTGGGGCAGGTTTGGGGGGCACCTCAGAGCTGTCCCCACATCCCTGGGGGAATGTCCCTGGGCCGGGGGGTGACCGAGGCATGGATACCCTTTTTCACAGGATTCTGCTGTCCTTGGGTCACTGTTTCCAAAATTTCAGCCAAACCTGGGACTTGAGGAAACAAAACTTGAGCTTTAAAGCCTTTATTTTTCTGTAGTAAAAGAATGTCCTGAAGGCAGGGACCTCGGTTCCTTTGGAGAGGGGCTCCCAGGACGCCCTTCTTTGGGGCCATTTGGGTGATGGTGACCTGGAATCGCTCTCCTCCCTCCCTCCATGGGGCTGGGTGATGCTGGGGGCTCTGTCAGGGGGGCAGAGGTGGGGTCAGACCCCCCCCAGAAGTAGACTGGGAGGACCTGGAGAACGTACCTGCTCCTCAGGGGTTCTTTTGCATGATGGATAGATGGACCAAGGCTCCTCCGCCTTCCCCTGCTGCGGGTGGCAGCGAGAGGGTCATCGGCTGGCAACTGGCTTCTCCTTTGCTCTTCCCTCTTCCTCTTCCTCTTTCCTCAGCCTGTGAAAAAGAAGAAGATCAAGCGGGAGATTAAAATCCTGGAGAACCTCCGAGGAGGCCCCAACATCATCAGCCTGTTGGACATAGTGAAAGACCCCGTGGTAAGGACGGGGAAGGGGCAGCAGGGGGATGTGAGGGAGCCCGAGGGAGCCCTTCCCACCCACAAAATCACGGAATCACAGAATTTTAGGGGTGGGAGGGACCTCTGGAGGTCTCCCAGTCCCACCCCTGCCAGAGCAAGGCCACCCAGAGCAGGCTGGATGTGTCCAGGTGGGGTTTGAAGATCTCCAGAGAAGGAGACTCCACACCCTCTCTGGCACCCTCACAGGAAAGACCTTTTTCCTGATTTTTTTGGAATTTCCTGTGTCCCATTTTGTGCTCGTCACCCCTTGTCCTGTCCCTGGGCACCACTGGGAAGAGTCTGGCCCCATCCTCTTGCCCCCCACCCTTTAGATGTTCATCAACATCGATGAGGTCCCCCCTCAGCCTGCTCTTCTCCAGCTGAACAGCCCCAGGTCCCTCAGCCCAGAGATGCTCCAGCCCCTCATCATCCTCGAGCCCCCCCTGGACTCTCCCCAGCAGCTCCCAGTCCTTCTGGAACTGGGGGAGCCCAGAACTGGTCCCAGTGCTCCAGCTGTGGGCAGAGCAGAGGTGGGACGATGACCTCCCTCCACCTGCTGGCCACCACCAGGAGACCATTGGCCTTCTTGGCCACCAGGGCACAGTGCTGGCCCGTGGGCAACTTGTTGGCTAGAATTACCCCCCCGGGGATGCCATCTCTGAGCTGGGACTGGTCCCTGACCCGCTTGGCACCCGTTTGGCAGCTGAAATCAGCCCTGGGGAGGGGGGGATCTCTCTGCCCACGTTCCCTGCTCCCTCGCTGCGGGGGCAGTGGAGGAGAGGGTAGGGATGAAGGAGATATTCCTGCCTCCTCTCCATCCCAAAAAAAAAGCAGCCAGGAAGGGGAATTTCCTCCCTTTTTCCTGGAGGGTCGGTTGGTTTTGAGACCACCCATCTCTCAGGGTTGATCTCTCTGCCCCCGTTCCCCGCTCCGTCGCTGCGGGGGCAGTAGAGGAGAGGGTAGGGATGAAGGAGATATTCCTGCCTCCTCTCCATCCCAAAAAAAAAGCAGCCAGGAAGGGGAATTTCCTCCCTTTTTCCTGGAGGGTCGGTTGGTTTTGAGACCACCCATCTCTCAGGGTTTTGCCAGGAGAAGCCTCGGGGGGCACAGGATGGTGGGGGTCTCCCTGGGATCCGTGGGGAACGCTGGCTGGATTTGGGGATCCTGCCCTGCCTTGGGGTGGTGCCGTCCCCCAAACCCATTGGGGATGTTTTCCTCCCCCCTTTCCCAGCCTTAGATTTCTTCTAATCCTCTAGATCCTCCCAAAATCATTATTTTTTTTGGTGGTTTGGTGGGTTTTTTTGACCTTCCTGGTGCTTCCCAATCTCCCCCTTCCAAACCAGGGGGGGGATTTCCTTCTCTGACCCCCGTGTGTCCAGGGAACCCCACTCTCCTGTGCTGGTGGGGGGGATGTGGGGCAGGATTCCTGGATTACAGGGGGGGGGGACACCCCAGCAACGTGAAACCCCCCCCTCCCCCGCCCAAAAAACCCCCCTGGGGGGCTTTTGGCAGCCGAGGGGGG